AGGTGTAATCGGGGCTGGTTTCGCCGTAGGGTATCGCGGCCTTCATCTTCTCCTGGTACTCCCGCAGAACGCCGTGGGCGGCGTCAACCGTCGGTCGGGGGGCGCTGGTGACGACCTCGTGGCCGATTTCAGGGTGGCGCTCGCAGATGCGCTCGAGGACGGTGCGCAGCTGGGTAGGGTCCAAAGTCTCGAGGAGTCGGGGGAGCGTGAGAGGGCGGCCGATGAGCTCGTTGGAGCGGACCTTTTTCGATGGTCGGGCGAGCTGTCTCGCCGAGGCGGAGGGGGAGCTTCTGGGAGAGAGGGACATCTCGTCGCCGTCTTCGTCGGCCTTGCGCTTGCGGCTGGTGGCCATGTTGTGAAATGGGCTCACTGTTTTCGGGTTAGCGTCGGGTCGGGATGCACGGCGAAGCCTTGGCCGCCGTTTCTGAAGCGCAAGGGGGGGAAAGCACTCAAACGCAGACAGCGGGGGAAAATACTGACAAGAACGAGAGGGAGAGATGCGGTTTGCGTCGTGGGGATGTTGGAATAGGGGCGGTTGTGGCGAGAGCAGCACATTCATGGTCGGAATGAGTGCGAACGATCGGTCGGCCGGGAGTCGGTGGGTTTTTGAGTCTGGATGACGACGACGACGGTTGCGACCAGACAAGCGACGACGGCAAGAGTCCAGGAACGTCTAGAATGCCAGCTTCTGTTGATTGAAAGCGACGAGATGGCGCGGCGGGCAAAGCGATCAGTAGTGGTGCTGGCGATTGAATGAAGTCGTGTGAATGTTGTTGTGGTTGTGAATGGTGAGGGGAAAGAAGGAGGATTTGTTTGGGGGGCAAAGGCCTGGGAGGAGTGTCAAGGGGAGCGATGGAGATGGAGCAACGGAAGCGAAAGCAAAGCAAAGCAGTGGAAGAGGGCGAGCGAGGTGGAGGAGGAGGAGGAGTGGGAAAAAAGGGCCCTTTACCTTTTTTCGTCTGGTTTCTCGGTTGGTTTGCGTGAGAATACAGCGGACTTGGCCTTCCACAATGGTGCTTGTTAGGCTACTAGGTATGTAGAGACGGGGGCCCAACGTACCCGCACCCAGGCTACATAACAGTACCTGTACGGATAAGGTGGTGACGGTGGCCTGTGGACCACCACCCTTGCCAAACCCCATCCACACCCAAGCAACGTGCGTTGGCTGGATCCCGTTGGACGCATCCACCCAGAATCTGCGCTGCAGCTGTGTCAGTGGATGAAGGCTGCTGCAGGCCGCCTGTAATATTAACCAGAGGCAGAGGCGGTCAAGGGGGGGTGGGCATCCACCACTGGACTGCAGCGAGCGTGACTGATGAACCCGATGGATGCCCTACAATGCCGAAACAGCAAGGGCGGGAAGGGAAGGCAAGGGTGCAGCGCTGCAGAGCGACATCGTGTACACCTGCAGAGGTAGCGGTACTTGTGCCGATACAAGGCACGTACCGCGGAACCGGGGCGGCGGTTGGCTGGCGCTGGAGGTTTCGCCAGGCGGCTGGCGGGTCTCATTCGTCAGAAAATGGCCGCACGTGAGTGGATGACGGAGGGCTCCAAGGCGACGGCGCTGGCGCCTCCTTAGTGGTGGCTTGATGGTGGTGCTGCATGTGGGGTTCAGCTCCTAGCTGCCTTAGCCTGTTCCTGTCGCTGCACAGGCGCTTTTTCTTCGCTTTTTTATTCGACTGTCACTCTCCTTCTCCCGCCTTCTTTCTCAGCTGCCGTCCTGCCCGCCGCCGTGTGCGGATACGGCGTGCCCCTCAGCTGGCCAGAGTTGCTGCCGTGTCGGCCTACGGATACCAGTTGCAATGGAGATGGCTGGGACGCGGCCTTGGCAAGCCGTGAAGCGCCGCCCGGCTTGTTGACGTGTCCCGGCCTGCTCCGGGTGCCTTTCCCAATCGGCTACATTGCACCGTCAACTGACAAAGATCTCCGAGCGGCAACCGGCGAGCACTTCGGATTCTGTCCCTGAAAAGGGAGACCTGGAACCCCGGCTGCCGAGTGGATGCCTCCTCACCGACCTTGGAGGGTTAAGTGCTTAATTCTGGCTTAACTCATCTCGTTTTTACGTTACATTGCGCTTTGTTGCCTTGGGATGTCTCGTTTTATGCTCATCTTCCGCACTACGTACTATAAAACAACCCTGGTACGTTGTTGCGGTTGATAACCTGCAGCAGCAGCTGAATCAAAACAAGACCAGTGTGAGTGAGGATGGATGCCCAGGCCAAAGGGAGACAGACATACACGACACCATGGTCTCAACTCTTAAAACCCGCGGGTCCTAGTAATCATTTCTTCCTTTCGCTCGATTGGACCCATTCCCTCGGAGCTTACTCAGGGCTCTGCACCCAGGAATGAAGAGGAGAAAAAAAACCAGCTGTGATTCGGGCGGAATCGACCAGCCATCATGGGAACTTGGATCTGGCTTGGCACCAACCCATTAAACAGAGTCAGTTCTCTGCAGCCACAGCAAAGGCAGGTACTTGTACAGGCATCTTGCACCGGTACCGCTACATTCGCCTAGCCCAACCTTGGTACCCACTCAGGTCAGTCTCGGTGAACGGGCCACCGTGCCACGAGCCTTTATCGCCTTATCGGTTATCAGTCCCAATCGCAAGAACAAAAAAAAAAATTTCGGGGCAGTTCATTGGCAAAGGGTCCCCACGGTCGAGATTCTCAGTCGCGCGACCTGCAAAAGACCGATCGCCATTGAAGCTTCTCGAACACCCCGGGAGATCCAGGCCTTTGCGCACCTCACAAACCATCAACAATGGCCACTTCCGAATCCAAGAAGCGGTCCAAGTCCAAGACCAAGGAGGTCAAGGACGAGGTCGCCGTCGAAGACGTCGCCGCCGCATCCCCGGAACCGAAGAAGAAGAAGTCCAAAAAGGTCAAGGAAGAGGTTACCGAAGAAGTCGCCGACGCACCTGAACCCAAGAAGAAGTCCAAGAAGACCAAGGTGGAAGTCGTCGAAGAGGAGGTCGCCGACGCCGCCTCCCCCGAGCCCAAGAAGAAGTCAAAGTCGAAGTCCAAGAAGACCGACGACGAAGACGAAGCTGCTGCCGCCGCCGCTTCTTCCGATGATGACGAGACCGCCGACAAACCCTCCAAGAAGCGCAAGTCCTCCGCCGCCAACGTCGAGGAGATCGAAGTCGACCTCGAGGCCCCGGAGCCGCCCTCGAAGCGCGCCAAGCGCGCGCTCAAGAAGGGCAAGAAGCTGCCGCCCAAGCTCGACAGCGACGACGAGCGCGAGGCCAAGAAGAAGAAGGAGAAGGAGGACAAGGCGGAGGCCGCGAAGCGCTCCGAGCACGGCGTCTGGGTCGGCAACCTGCCCTTCTTCGTGACGGCGGACGAGCTGCGCAAGTGGCTGATTGCCAACTCGGGCGAGATGATCACCGAGAGCAGCATCACGCGGCTGCACATGCCGACGACCAAGGTCGCCGGCCGCGAGAAGCCGAACAACAAGGGCTTCGCGTACGTCGACTTTGACGACGTGGCGCCCAAGGTCGCGGCGCTCGCGCTGACGGAGGCGGAGCTGGGGCACCGCAAGCTGCTGATCAAGGACGCGCGGTCGTTTGAGGGGCGGCCGAAGAAGGAGACGGAGACGGCGGCGGAGGGTGGCAAGGCGGGAGCGGCGGTGAAGGAGGAGGTGCCGACGAGCAGCAAGATCTTTGTGGGCAACCTGAGCTTCAAGACGACCGAGGAGGACGTGCAACAGCACTTTGAGAAGTGCGGGCAGATCGACTGGGTCAAGGTCGCGACGTTTGAGGACTCGGGCAAGTGCAAGGGGTACGGATGGGTCAAGTTCAGAGAGCCCGAGTCAGCGGGGTGGGCTGTCAAGGGGTTCGTCAAGATCAAGGAGGAGATCGAGACGGAGGAGGACTTTGTCGAGGAGAAGAGCAAGGACGAGGAGGGCGACGAGGAGATGAAGGACGGAGATGATGACGAGGAGGAAGAAGAGGAGAAGAAGCAGAAGAAGAAGCCGGTCGAGGAGCAGAAGGTCAAGACGAGGAAGTGGTGGGTGAACAAGCTGCTCGGCCGTCCGCTCAAGATTGAGCTGGCGGAGGACGACCAGACGCGGTACAAGAAGCGCTTCGGCAAGGGTGCGCCCAAGAGGGAACAGCAGGAGGGCGGTGATGCGGAGGGAGAGGTGCGGGAGAGGAAGCCTCGTCCTGCCAAGCCGGCGGCAGAGCTCAAGGCGCAGGACGATCTGATGGTTGCGAGACTGACGGGTGCTGCGGCCAAGCATACTGGCACCAAGATCACGTTTGATTAAATAAAAGTAATACATTTGTTTGCGTTCATTCCAACACGTCTCGTCTTGTGTTCGCTTGGTCTGTGGTGGTCACTGGATCTGCTCTTGGAAACAATCCGAACTCAAGCGCTATCCATCTAGCCCTGAAAGTATGTCTTGTCCAAAAAGACAAGGCAACAAGGATTTTCCTCATCTTGTGTCGTGCTAATGGTCAAGAGTCTATGTGTTGCCTCACCCAGTCATGTGTGTTGTATTTCATCTAGTCCTGCTCCAGCCTACACAGAGTCTAGGGCCGTGGCCTCGTTGGGACAATACTCCAGTAATCGCATGACATGCGCGCCGGAAAATCCAATCTCATGAAGGCATTCATTTTTATAGCCAATGTGGCTTCAAGAAGGAAGAGAAGGAGCGTGACAGCACTTGCGGAGGTGAACGCAACTGCGTCCGTGGTCTATTCACGGTAACAAGGGCGGGAGAAATACTGGCAATAATTAGGATAAGAGCAACGAAACGGGCGCCGAAACGGGCGCCGAAACTAGGGCACTCCTAAACTAAGGCTCTGTTGGCAAGGGCATCGAATAGATATCAAGATATCACACGGTGGGTTTTGAAATTATTAGGGGTCTACAGGCCGTTTCAACGACCCGGAAGCTGGGGGGAAGTGTACGGATGGAATCCGACCCCCTTTTTCTCGATTCCCTAAATACCTCGATGGCTGGTAGCATACAAAATGTCCCTCCGAATCTCCCATCTACTCAAACAACACCCTCCATTTCTGATGCCACTTCGTCCTCGGCGGCGCAGGCGTCTCCTGCGCCAGAACCTCGTCCAACCCGCTCACCAGATCCACGTCCATCGGATCCCGCACCCACGCATCGCCCCTGCCCACGGTGAACTTGTGCCCAAAGTACAGCGCAAAGAAGATGGCAACGCCAATGTACGACGTCAGGAACGACGAGGTGTCCCACTGTCCGTCCAGAAACACCTTGAACCCGTTCACCACGAGCAGCAGCCCAAACCCGCAGATGCTGACGATGCTCGAGTACGGCTGGAGCCGCGAGCGGAAGGGCGCGTCTGCGACGCCCTGCGCGTCCGCGGCTTTGCGGTAGCGCAGGTAGACGACGCAGCAGCAGATCCAGCTCTGGTAGGCGCCGGTGTTGATGAGGTTGACGAACCAGTTGAACACGGTGGCACCCGTCGACGCCACATTGAGGTACGCGAGCAGCGAGAGGGAGGCGCTCGCGGCGGTGGCGTAGTACGGCACGCCGGACTTTGTGCAGCGCGTGAAGACGCGCGGGGCGTTGCCGGCGAGGGCCATTGAATACAGGGCGCGGCTGGCGAGGTAGAGGTAGGAGTTGCCGGCGGACCAGGCGGAGAGGACGATGACGACGTTGACGACGGAGTCGAGGCCGCGGATGCCGGCGTCGCGGATGCCGATGGCCCAGGGGGAGGCGCCGGCGCCCTTGCCGCCGCTGAGGAGGCTGGGGTTCTCCGAGTTCACGATGATGCCGACGGCGAGGGCGCCGAGGATGTAGAAGGTGATGAGGCGGTAGAAGTAGCGGCGCGTGGCGGTGGGGATGTTGCGGCGGGGGCTGTCCATCTCGCCGCCCGTGACGACGAGGAGCTCGGGCGCGAAGGCGAAGGCGTAGACGGAGAAGGTGATTGTGGCGAGGAAGGCGACGAGGCGGCCCGAGTTGCCGGAGACGATGTACTCCTTGACGGGCCCCGGGTCGGACCAGTTGGAGAACCAGAGCGGCTGGTGGGACGGCCCGCCGCCGAAGAAGAGGACGACTGAGAGCATGAGGAGGCCGATGATGCCGAAGACCTTGATGCTCGCGAACCAGAACTCGGCCTCGCCGTAGACCTTGACGGGGAAGCAGTTGAGGCCGACCATGACGAGGCCGATGAGGGTCAGCCAGACGGCGATGTGCAGGGGCGGCGACCAGTAGTTATGACGATGTAGGTCGCGGTGATCTCGGCGGGGACGGTGATGGAGAAGATGTACCAGTAGACCCAGCCGAGGGTGAAGCCCAGGGAGCGGGAGAAGAAGCGGTTGCCGTAGTAGGCGACGGAGGAGCCGGGCACGGGGAGGTAGGAGGACATTTCGCCTGTGGCGGTGGCGACACCGTAAAGGAGGAGGGTGATGCAGATGTAGGCGATGAGGACGAAGAGGGGGCCGCCCATGTGTAGGGCCTGGCCGATGCCGACGAAGAGACCTGTGCCAATGGTGCCGCCGAGGGCAATCATCTGGGCATGGCGTGACTTGAGGCCTCTTTGAGTTGTGCCATGTTGTTCGCCCTGGCCCTCGAGGACGGATTCAACTGGCTCGAGGGCTGAGTCGGAAACGGCTGTTTTCTTCTCTGACATTGAGGGCTGTGATGGTGAATCTGACATCGTGATCGTTTTCTGCTGTTGAAGACTAGGAATGAGCAAGGCTAAACTCGGATGAGGTGTGGATAGTAGTCAGGACATGAAGGCTTCAAGGGAAGCATGCTTAGCTTTTATATCTTGTCCAGTTCGCAATCCACGCTCAGCGTATCTTCCAGCCACAGTCCATTTGAGCACGATGTTGTATTGATCAAAGCCATGGTGTGATTCTTGACCACATTGGTGTTAGTGATGGCAGCAAGCTGAAGTTGTCAGACCACACGCATGTCTCTCTATCTTCCACTCAGCAAAAAGGGTCTTGGCGCCGAATCCAGATCCATGGATATCTTTGCTATCTGCAGTAACAAGGTTGTAATCCGGTCTATTGATACGCAACTAATTCCAATGGCTAGTCTTGATAAGGGCAATCAAGGGGTGTCGTCGTGTTGACTTTCCCTTTTTACGGGGCTAACGTGGGTTCCCCCGCGTTTTGCGCACGTCAAGCAGAACCAAGTGGTCGGTTCCCCAAACGCATCCTGGATAGCCTGTCTGATGAAGAATGCTGGAGAACATGCACTAATGCGACTCCGTACCTATCTTACCTACCAGGTTATGCGCCGGCCAGGGCTTTGAACGACGCGTATGACCAGCCAAAACTGCAGCGCTTTGAAATTGTATAGATGAAATCGAGGAGCAACCGCATTAGAAAGAACTGGGAGAACACAGAACTCGCCGCTGAGACCAGAAGACAAGTAACGTAATTGGAAGATAACATGATTGTAGTGTGGCTGGAATGGCCTACATAACGATCTTACTGGTAAGCCAGCTTCATCAATCGGCGACCAAGACGGAAGAGGCAGGGTAGAGACGAAGGGGGTTAGCTCAAGCAGGCAAGAGAAAGACTTTGAGAGGGGTGACAAGACTGTGAAGTCGCCAACATCGTTCGGCCACATTGTACGGGAAAAGTCCGAAGTCCGCAGCTTCCAGGCGGTATCCCACTTACAACAGGAAGACCCACCAGCGGCATTATGAGAGAGACATACGCTAAGTTCCAACAGTTGAGACCCGAGGTAATAAGTGAGATTTTGCGGAAGTCAGTGCGTCAATTGCTTTGTCTGTGTTCTGACTCCTCTTATTCTCCTAGTTTGACGTGGGCGGCACTGCCCTCTTCATGATCAAGCTCGCATAGACTCGTGAGCGCTTTAGTTCTGCTGGATGCAAGATTTCAGACCAGGCTTGCCATGAACGCCACCTCCCCTGAACATCTGTAGAGACACCGGGATGGGAATATTCATGCCAACTTAGCCAGCCTCGGTATTCTGCTAGACCACGTCGTAGATGCACAGGAGTTGGCAAGCCGCATGGAAAAGGCACTGAAGGGGCCCTTGTTGATGGGCTTGGTAGTCTCCGCCAATGTAAGGTATCAGGTTTCTGGAACAACCTAGGACAGGCCCAAAGATTTCCTCTCTGTGAGACTCCATGCGCGACTTAAAGCCGGCAATGACGGTAGGCCCGAGGAAGCTGTCGTTGAGGTTCTTTAAAGGGCGAAATCCCCATCTGTCGGCTTCCTTCTCGAACTTTCTGTCGACAAACGGAAATCCTCGGCAGATTGGAAAAGGTCATGAACGCAGTCGTGGATTTCGGCATCCACCTGTCAGAGCAGGGCCGGCGCGTCGAGGGCCACATATGTTGTTCGCACCGAGATTCGCCTCGATGCGCTTTCCATGATCAAGCCGCAGGTACATATCCTACCGCAGCGTTTCCGCCTACACGAGGGATAGCGTCGGTTGTGGACTCGTTGGTGATGACGTAGGCGACGCGATGGATACCGCGAGCGATGTTGATGACTCTGGACGGGAAGTCTGTCTCTCTGGCTAGGCCAGCAAGGATCATGGCGTTGTCGGGGGCTCGTTCGGCGGTTTTGATGAAGAAAATGTTGGAGGTGATGATGGGTGTCGACGAGAATCATGACTGGAAAGTCTGGACACATGGGGTGCCAGAGAAATTGGTCGTTAATATGGCGACGCAAGGTTCTTGAATTCGTAGAATGACTGACTGAATGAGCAGACGCGGCAACTCGTACAGACTCGTCGTGGCTGCGGGTCTCCATGTTCTTGGCCACCTCAACGACTTTGCCCGTGAGCTGAGATGTGATGCCACAGCCATTTCAGCTGCCCGCAGACATCTGAGGAAATCTCCTCATACGTCGGCAGAAGTGTTGTCCTGTTCCAGGGCGATCGAAACAGCAAGCTGATCTTACTCTTTCCCAACTAGGTCCACTGGTTGGACATAATTTGCTGACAGCAGATGATGCCAGCATTTGATCATTCCTAAATGACGCCGTAGCTCCTCACTGGTGCCATGTGGAACGCGCGTTACGATGTTACTGGTAGCGGGTTCGTGGACATCAACCCATCTGCTCGCTGATTAGGTGAAGGTGTCGTAAACGAAATTTTGGGTGGTTACGGATTTTGTGATCTGGTCACAAGATGTAGACCAAGGAGACAGGCGTATTGACGTTGTTCGCAGAGATCTTTGAGGGAGGCCTCAGGCGAGGAGAAGGCAATGGCGGTGGTGGGCATCGACAAGCCAAGCGGGCACCCGTTGAAGCTCTCAGTACAGTAGGTAGACATGTGTATGAATCCAAGGATTTCGTGACACCAAGATCATCGGAAGAGCTCCCGATTGCAAGTGATATATCATAAGAGAAGCAGACATCTAGTAGATCAAGAAGTCGGAAGCTCTTCCGCCAGCCGCTTAGGGGCGTCTCAAATCAGAAAGCCCAGCAGCCATTACATCGGCGGGATGCCCCAAATAGAATCGCGCATTACGTACTAACATACAAGAACAATGTCGATTCGAGAGTAAGGTCTCGCCGAGGCTAGTCTCACGCTTTTGGCGCTTCGACTTGCAACTCAATTCGAAAATAAAGTGGACCACAAATTTACACCCCACAACAGCTCTAATGCACATGCAGGCCGTAAGCTTGAGCTCCTTTTTCCAAAAGTCTACGGATAGTCGGGATGAGAAGCTTGCTGAAGCTTTTGCTCATTCTGGCGGCCATTGATAGGCTCGCTCGATTCAATGCGCCTCGAAGCAGGGTCTAGTCAACATGCCTGGTTGTAGTTTGGGCAAGCGTCCGCGAGCTACCCCAAGTCAACTGGCACCACCCCCACGGGTCTCAGATAAGCCATGCAGCCTGGATCTGGCATCTGAAAAGCTACTTGCCAAATCCGGCGAGCTCCAAACGTCGAAATGACTGCCACATTATTCGCTGAGAGTGGGATAGCTGCTCGGCCGAGTTTCTCAGGCGGCACGCGACTGATGACACCCTGCATGTGTGAAGCCCAGGGGGAGGGATCTGGAGCAGGACCCCGATTTCGGGAATGCAGATTCACACCGCCACCAAGGCAGGAAGGTCAATGATGGACGGCCTGAGCTAGGAGGTCGTGGGGATTGGGTTAAAGTAAATTTATTGAAGCTCTCAAGCTCCGCTGCTGCTCATCGTGAACTTGCCTCTCATACTCCTCTTCTACGACAAGATTCTACTGTAGCTGTCTAAGAAGACTAACGGTTTACTTCGCCAATTTCTCCATCTCTGTACACTTCATCGATCACACGACCTCGTCACCACAATGGCGAACCGCGGCGCAACATGGGACCCCAAGGTCCATACCATCCGCGATCTGATGGAGCTGGGAAGCAAGAAGCTGCCTAAGATGTACAGGGACTACTACAACGAAGGCGCCATGGATCTTGTCACGTAAGTCGGAGAATGAGATTTGTTTGAGCGAAGCAGACATTGATTTGTATGCAACAGCCTGAAGGACAATGAAGAGGCATACAACCGTTACAAGATCCTTCCTCGGATCCTCGTCAACGTCGACAACATTGATCTTTCCACGACAATTTTTGGTACCAAGGTATTACACTGTCGCCGCCATCCAGGACTCTTTAAGAAATTCTGCTGATCGCCTTTCGAAAGGTTTCATTTCCCCTCGGTTTCAGCCCAGCAGCGATGCACAAGCTGGCGCACCCAGACGGCGAGGCCGCGACATCACGCGCCGCGGCGAAGATGAACATTTGCATGGCCTTGTCTTCATATGCGACGGAATCGATGGAGAACGTGGCCGCGCAAGGGCTGGGAAATCCCTATGTCATGCAGCTGTGTGTGCTTAGAGACCGTGAGACGACAATCCAAATACTGAAGAGAGCGGAGGGTATGTCAACACCCTCTCACATCAATGAGTGGGAAGCGAGGCGGTTAAATGCTAACATTGTGTGAAAGCTTCGGGATACAAGGCCATCTTCCTTTCTGTCGACACACCACTCCTTGGCCGCCGTTTGAACGAATACCGCAACAACTTCACCCTGCCGGATGGCGTTGAGTGGCCAAACCTCTTGTCTGATGGAAAGAGCGAGTTGAGCGGTGCGATCAAAGACGAGCAGGCTGTTTCTAAGCATGACTTCGGTAAGGATGAGTGCCAAAGGAAATCGTAGTTGGCATTGCTAACCGTTCCAGACCCTTCCCTCGACTGGGATAGCGCGATCCCGTGGTTGAAGCAGCACACAAAGCTCCAGATTTGGTTGAAGGGTGGTGAGTACTCGGCAATGCGATGGCGACCGATATCACAAGCTAATCACAAGGGTCACCAGTGTACAACCCGGACGACGTAGCGATGGCCATCCGGTACGGCATCGACGGTATTGTCATCTCCAACCACGGAGGCCGACAGCTGGACGGAGTTCCCGCCACCCTCGATGCGTTGAGAATTTGCGCACCTGTGGCCGCAGGAAAGATTCCCATCGCGGTCGACGGAGGCATCCGACGCGGAACCGATATCTTCAAGGCGCTCGCACTTGGCGCATCTCACTGCTTCGTTGGAAGAATTCCCATTTGGGGTCTGGCTTACAATGGCCAAGAGGGTTGCGAGCTTGCGCTGAAGATTCTTCAGTACGAGCTCAAGATTGCGATGGCCCTTGCAGGGTAAGTACACTACTCCTTTCCGATGTGCAGCCATGCTGATTCTCGCGTCGCACAGAACGCGGACCATTGAGGAGATTTCGAGGGGTCATGTGGCATACTTGAACGGCAGTGGAGTTCTGGCAAAGCTGTAGGTGCGATGGTCACATTGGGTGTAGCGAGTACAGCATAGATACTTCTTCATAATTCATTCCTGATTGTAATTTTACCGAAAACAGTTCTTGATCTGATCACATACTATTAGAACAAGCAGCAATAATTTTGATTGCGGATAGGTTCAACCGTGAAAATAATGCAGGACAAGAAGTCAATTTAGTCATGCAAGGAAATTGCCGATCACGAGAGAGAACACACGGGCAGATTGAGCCAAGGAAATGAAGCCAATGATTTACTCAGACGATCTGGTTACGTCTCTTGATCTCTATTTACTTGGTGATGGTGCACATGCGGAAGAAACTTGTCTGATGGTTCTTAAATGCAACGCGCCAGACCTTAGACAGTGGGGTCCTGCACAGCAGGCTAGGATTGCTCCCAAGATGGCACTGAAGGTCACGAGCCACTACAAAGCGATTTTAGGCTTTCACACTTAGAAGTCTGTGCCATCAAGATTGACTATGATTGCTCGTACTCTTCGTGTCATATGCAGGCAAGGTCCGCGACTTTGGGGTGGCCAGTTTCTGGAGGAAGGTCTCCGCGACGAGGGCCCACATCGCCGCCGGGCTTACCCCGCGCTATCATCGAAGATAATCATCGCGGAGGCGCCTCCGATCCCGGGACCCACTTGCCCCGCGTCGCCGTTTTGTGTGCCTCCAGCTACCCCTCCTCTATCGTCATTCGGACCCCAATCTCTTAGTTTGATCGAGCAGGAAATGCGGCAGGAAAGGCAGGTCTGCTCGAGTTCAAACGCAGTGCGATGCCGGACGGCTGCTTTGAGGAGGGGCTAGTTTGCTGGTGCAGCTGACTCTTGCAAAGAGCAAGACATCCCGAAGGCTTTTGTCAACCATCCAATGTGAAAGGTTCGTATTAGATAACCCACTTCATCAGCTCAATATATGACCTTGGCTTCTGCGCAGTGCTACACTCCAGCCCGGAACACTTCTGCATCCTTCTCCTTGCGAACGACCCAGCCCAAAGCTGAACCAATACTCTGTCATCTGAAACCGCATTCTCGTCTTTTTATCATCTGTTCAGAACTTATTACGACAAAAACTAATCCAACATGGCACCTCAAGAGCTGAAGGGCGTTCTCGTGGCCCTTGCCACCCCTTTCACCCCCGACCAGAAGTCTATCGACACCAAGCTGCTCGACGAACATATCCAGCGCCTCATTGCCAAAGGTGTCCACGGTCTTGTTCCCGGAGGCAGCACCGGCGAGTTCACCGCTTTGGACGCCGACGAGCGCAAGATCCTGATCGAACAGACCGTCAAGTCCGCTGCGGGGCGCGTGCCCGTCGTCGCCGGCATTGGCGACCTCTCCACCGTCCGCGCCGTCGACCACGCCGTGCACGCCGCCTCCGTCGGTGCTACTGCCCTTATGGTTGTTCCCCCCTTCTACGACGCCCCCAACCTGGCTCAGCTCCGCGAGCTTCTCAGCGAGATCCACCAAGCTTCAAAGCTCCCCATCGTCTACTACAACATTCCCTCCGCCAGCGGTGTCACACTATCTCCCTCTGAGATCGCCTCCCTGTCCGAGGTTGGCGTCACACACTTGAAGGATACCTCTGGAAACGGCCCCGCCCTCACGGAGCTGATCTTCAGCACTGCCACCAACTCCCGTATCACCGCGTTCAACGGCTGGGATACGCTTACCTTCTACGGCCTCGCTGCCGGCGCCAAGGGTTCCGTATGGGGCGCGACCAACATCATCCCTGAGTTGTCTAGCCAGCTGTGGCAGGCTGTTGCCGAGGATGCGGACTTGAGGAAGGGCAGGGAGCTGTGGGCGAAGATATTCCCCATCTGCAAATTCTTGGAATCGCACAACTATGCTTCGGCAGTGAAGACTGGTATGGAACTCCGTGGGTGGAAGACTGGTGGCCTGCGCAAGCCATTTGCGCTCCTCGAGGGCGAGCCACGAAAGGAGTTGGCTGGGTTGTTGAAAGACGCTGGCGTTGATGTTGTGGCATAAGCGGCAGTAGATTGCACAATGTATTAAAAGTTGATCTAAGATGTTTCTGGTGCAACTTGACCTGACTTGGGTTATGCGTGGATGATTGGGCTTCATCTTTCTTCTTCCGACGTCAACTGAACATGTGCCGTTTCTACCCGTACTCACATACCACCTCCGATGAGATTTTACGTCTATGAGTCGAAGCAACTTACAGAGAGCAGTACATCGGTACGCATCCATTCTTTCTCAACCGTCAAGCTCGGTACACCAAAGCCAAGTGAAACGACCCATGGTCATCCATTTGCTCTCCCTTCCCGTAGTTCCGTGGGAATGCGGACCATGGCAAATTGATTTTCCATGGCTCCTATCATGAACGGGCATTAGCGTATACTTGAATCTAAACATAGCCGACATGACCAAATGATCGAGTAGGCAGTAATAAGAAGGCGACACCAGCGGGTAATGGGTCATCTCAGAATTGGCCACGATTGATCGAGAGTACATCTCAAGCTGCATCTCAAGCTGCAGTTCTCTTGCAGAATGCAATGTCCAGGATACAGCATGTCGTGTCAGGAACCCACCTGCGACCACTTCGCATTATCCAAAAGGAGGTGATCGCCGTCATCACTACGCCATTCGGAGCACGTTGAGGTCAAGACGAGCGATAACCCCCAGTATTTGCATCGATACGAATGGCCATACTGTCCAACACAGCGGGGATGGGTCCAATTTAGTTGAGGGTCTCCATCGTTGGCAGCGGCCAGGGTTGGGGACCGGATGAACCTTTGATGAAAAAGCGACAGGCTGTTGGATTGAAGCAATCGTCCACACCTTCAATCTAGGTACGTGGTGATTTATGCTAAGATAAAACGCTGGATGCTATAATTGAGGTAATAGGGTTGTCAATTCTTCATGATTGGTGCTAGTGATAAGCATGAGAAATTCTGGATGATCAAATGGAATACCAGTCACCAACAAGCAATAAAGACCAACGGATACCATCTTGAGCCATGATCTGTCTCCTCCACCACTTTACTAGATTTGCGAACCTTGCAGCCTTGCAGACGGGGAAGTCGTGCCGACCCCTGTTGACGTCGGACCTTGCGTGGGTGCTCACATATGATTCGTCTGGGGAGCGGCGAGCGGCACACTCGCTTTCCAACAGCCAAGCAACGTGCTCTTCTAGTCACTTCAATGTGGACCTGCAACGTACGTTACCATCTCGTCTATGCGGAAAGCCCCCGCACATTCTGTCTGTCGTATGATCAGTCACACTCTGACAGGACAATGCGGCCAAGGCCGCTTTTATGGGCCATCGCTGAAGATGTTCCTGACTCTCGCTTCCAGTCAATTTGATGACGCCTGAATATTGGTATGTAGATTCCCTGAAACAAGCATCCGGGTTCAAAATGATACCCAATAAGTATATACGGGCGAGACAACAAGCCAAGGCAAGGCTGCACATTCCGTGACAAGATCTCTGCGGGGTTTGCTCTGCATACTTGATGCATGAGCGGGCTTGGGTTGCTTTGTTGGTCCTGGAATGGACCTCGCCAGTACCAGGCCTGCTGTTGCTATCGTTCCACGTGTCCGTATCCGACCCGGCATTCTTTCACGCTTGGCCTGATGTTTTCTTTTCTTGTTGCCCCCCCTCTTGTGTTCCCTCGCTTTTTCCCTTCCCCCTTTCTCACTCGAGACATTCTCTCAGCTGTCTGCCCACATTGAAACCTCACCAAGGGCGGATCTCATAGCTACAATGGCTGACGAAGAGGCTCAGATAGTAAGCACCACTCGTCATCCACACCCCATCGAATTCATTTCGGTGTCGCTCTCGTCTGCTGATATCACTCAAGGAAGCCGCGCTCCAAACTCAGGAGCCTGCTGAGACCCCAGACGACGGATATTCAGATACAGGGAGGTACGAGTTCTTGCCTGCTCGAAAGTCGTTGCCAGACCCAGAGGCTGACATCCATGGTACTTTCATTCTTAGTTTGCATCAATCGACATCCTCTCTGAGTTCTAGCATTAGGGAGTACCGCACTATTCGCGGAAGAACATTCCAGACTTCCAACACTATTGATTATTGGTGAGTGCAAGCCAACAGCCTTCGCTCGGTTCCATTATACTGTCGGCTCTCTAATCGACCCAGGGCGCCAAATGACGAGCAGCAAATCGAGGGCTTTGACATTACGTGAGTGATCATAGAGATATCATGCGAGCTTCGTCGACGCGCTGTTTGGCTGGAACTGACATAATAAAAAGACATCATTTCATGATGTTGCTTATGGACAACCATCTATTTGGCGCTCCTATCCGAGGCAGAAACCTGGCAAGTTACTCTTATTTACTCCGTCGTGTAGCTAGAACTCACCATAGCTAGTGACTGATGTTCATTGAGGCTGTACTGTGTTGCTTTACTAATGGCCTACAGAAAGTTCTAGACGTTGGGACTGGAACAGGAATCTGGGCTATGTATGTTACTCACCTTGTATCAACTCGCTTTTTGTGTAAATTTGATGCTGATGACCATCATGGCTAGTGATGTTGCAGAGGAGAATGAGGACTTTGACGTCATCGGAATTGATATATCGCCAATCCAACCAGGCTGGGTTCCGCCAAACTGTCAATTCTTCATTGATGATGCTCAGCTTGATTGGACCTTTAAGCCTGATGAGTTCGACTTCATTCACGCCCGAGGTCTCTTTGGCGGCATCGATAACTGGCAGAAGCTCTACGACCAGGCCTTCCGGCATCTGAAGCCTGGTGGCTGGTTCGAGAGCGTCGAGGCCGACAGCCAAGTCCGCTCGCAGAACGAAGAGATCGAAAAAGACCCCAAGCACGTCTTCAAACAATGGGCCCCGCTATTTTGGCAAGCTGGTGACATTATTGGCAAGACTTTTCGTGTCGCCCAAGACGATGGCCAGAACCCCATCATCATGGAAACTTGTATGAGAAGAGCAGGCTTCGTCGACATCGTGCACAAGAAGTGGAGGGTCCCTGTCGGACCATGGGCCAAAGATCCCTACTTGAAGGAGGTTGGAGAATACGCGGGCCTGTATGTCGATCAAGGACTCGAAGGCTGGGCGCTCAGGCCGCTCAGTGAGATTCTGGGATGGACTTACGAGGAGCTCCTTGTCTTCATTGCTGGGATGCGCAAGGAATTGCGAAACAAAAGTGCGATGCCGTACTTCAACTAGTAAGTTAATCTCCTTAACTCCATGGCAAACCCAGTCGCTGAGGCGTTGATCACGGAAATATGGAGACTAACCAACGCCTAGTCACATGGTTTACGGCCGAAAGCCAGAGGCTTGAGATTGTGGTCTCCGGTGGCCATGCGTCGCATCTTGTCGCGGACTTGGGGCAGATATCTGGTGTTACAATGTGAGATCGGATGAACCGTCACGTACGAAAGTTCACGGTAAAATGTGCAATGCAATAGAGAACCGATATTCACAGTATCAAGCAACGAGAAAATGTCACAGATATTTTGTGCGCAAATTATGGCCCTTTCCGGCTACACATCTCGCTGTAATCATGTACCTACCCATTACTAAGCTGCCCGTACTTACGGTCCCATGTGAAGAATCAAATTTCATGTCCGTCGCAAGGTTACCCAACAACTGCTCACCAAGACGAGTGGCTTTGCTCAGTGGCGAAACTATGATCAAAGCTCACAAGCTTGGGCATACGTGTTTTTAAATGCTCCGTCGTGCCTGGATAAGCGAGAGCGCTGTCGCAAATACTGAAACTTTCTACATTAGGAAACCTTTCCTGTCATGACTTAACTCTCATTATCAAGACGCAAACGTGGCCTATCCAACAAACATACCGCGATCTGATACAGCAACTCGTTCATGCGGTCCTGAGTTAGGGTGTAGACCTCAGGATAGCAGGGCTCATATCAGGGATCCACGGTAAGGGTCTCGACTCCATGCCCATTGATCTTAGGTAAATTAATTTCGTAGTAGAATGGGGTTTAGTAGGCCTACTGGATTTTTCGGCGTTTTTAGCGTTTAGAGGTCAGATTACTAGCCCCCTTTGAGAGGCGAGAAGTTAGCTTAGATATTATTATTAATCCTAATAGATTAGAAGTAGAATTTACTTATTTTTTAGTGGATTTTTAAGCTTTTAATCTTATTCTTTTTGTTTTAGATCTATAAAGTAAATAAGAAGTTCTTTTCTTTTTCTTTTAAGATTATAAGTTTTAAAACTATAGAGTTATATAGCTATAATAACTATATATACCTAAAGGTATATATATACTACTACGTTATATAACTTTTAACTACTAAGTTTATAACTATTTTAATAGTATTTAGAAGTAGATATTTTCTTTTTTTAGATACTTATAGGAGGTATTAGAGAAGAACTTACTCTTATACTAAATAAATAGATTAATATAATATATATAATAAATATAACTATTATTATTAACTATATAATACTAAGAAATATAATATATTAATAGGAGTTAAGTAGTTATTTATAGACCTAATTTATAATAAGTAGAGAAGTATAATAGCTAAGTATAACTTTAGTAATAAGAATATAGGGATATAAAAAGACTTTAAAAAAAAGCTTTAAAGGTATTATAGTTTATATAGTAGGGAGTATTAGATTTTTATTTATTTTTACTTTTATTACTCTTTAATATTATAGGCTATTAAGGTTAGATTAGATCTACTTAATAAGCCTTCTAAACTAATAAGAATATAAAGCCTTATAATATTTAGATAAAATAGCTTTTAGGAACTAATAAGTTTATTATAGAAGAATAAAATAAATCTACTATAAAGCTATTAGTAGTCTATATAACCCTTAATAGATTAACTAGTAGAGACTTAAAAGAAAGAATATAAGGTTAACTATAGAGACTTAAGATAGTATAGCTAATTAGGCTTAGAATTAGTAGGGGTAGAGGTATAGTACCTACCTATTTAGTTATACTTTTTTCTCTTATCTCTTTTTCTTTTATTATATTTTTAGAAAAAGTAATAATAATACTTAAGATTAGAAAGATTAATACTTTTAATTACTTAAAAATAATAATTTATATATTTACTATCTTAATTATTAATAACTACTATAGTTAAGATATAGCTTAAGATAATTAGGGAAATATTATATGAAGATATCCTAACTTCTTATAACCTTACTATTAGAGGTAAGTCTACTAATATATTTAATATCTAAGTTAGAGCGTTTAGGAATATTTAAGATTAAACTAAGGTAACTTTAGTTTCTAAAAATAGCTTACTTAATAACCCCTTTAGTTTATAAGCTTAAACTATTAATATTAACTTTACTAAGGTTAACTATATTACTAATAGTACTTACTTTTATATTAAAGTTAATAGAGGTAAGGAATAAGCTTTTAGTATTAATCCTTATTATATTTTAAGTAATAATACTTATAAAGTCTAATAGTAGCTTATAGCTTCTATTAATAATACTTATTTTATCTTTATAGACTAGTTAATAGGAATTATTAAGTAACTAATAGAGTTATACCTTTAATATCTTATATTAATTATAATAAATCCCTTTCTAAATAAGAATACTCTTATATTTATAAGTAATAATATTATAGATTTTATTAAAACTTATAATTTCTAGTCTTATAAAGTCTATTAAACTAATAAGGATAAGCTAATAAAGGTCTACCTCTATAGTTTTAAGGACTTAAAGTGGGGTATTAAATTACTAATTAAAAACCTTAATAATTAGAAAACTACTAAAGCTACTCTTATTAATTAGTATAGTATTATAGATAAAAACTTCTATTAAGATCTTAATAAAGAACTTTAAGTAATTAAAGATAAGCCTCCCCTCTCTAAGATAGATACTATTAGTATTATAGCTCTCTTTAATTATATTAAAGGCTTATACTATAAAGCTACTATAAGGGAACTCCTAAGGTATTAAGACTAGGATCTTATTTACCTTATTTATAAGTACTTACTAAAGGGAGCTATTAAGACTATTATAAAAGCTCTCTTTTATAATATTATAGACCTACTTTAGAAACTTTAACTAAGTATTAAGTATATAATTATTAAATAGGTAGCTAGAGAGACCTCTTATATATATATTAGCAAAAGGAAGGTTATAAAGGTAACTACTCCTCTTTTAATTATTAGTTTTATTAAACTTATTAATTAGTTTATATAAGTTATTTATATTTAGTAGTAATATAGTAATTTAAAAGTAGTAGATTTTAATAAAGTTATTACTTTTTAAGAGTAGATATACTAAATATCTCTTAATAGTAAAGATACTAAGGAATAGATAAAGGTATTTATAGCTAGTATTTAGAAACTAAGTATAAATATTAGTTAGTAGTTTAAACTAATATAGAATAGTTATATTATAGATATAAACTAAATATCTATAGTATAAGGGAGTTATAGATAGTAAAGAGAGGCTAGCTAATTTATAAGCTTAATTATTATAAACTAAATATAATATAATATACTTAAGATTAAAGGTTATTACTCTTATAGAATAAATAGATACTATATAGCTAAATATAATATTATAGATAAGTTAAGGAACGCTAAAGTAGTATATTACTTAAGGGGATAGTATATTAGCTCTTATACTAATTATAATATTATTTAGGATAGTATTATTAATAAAGGATAGAAGAACTTAATACCTAACTTAATAACTATTTAGGCTTATATCCTCTAAAATAAAGTATACCTCTAACTAGAAGTAGTAGTAAAGTAATTTTATAATAAGTACTACTTAGAGTGAGTACTTAGCTTAAAATTATCTATCTATTATTAAGAAACTATAGTTATAGTAGATAAGGCTTAAAGAGAATAGGAGGAGGCTAGATAATAAGTATTAATAACTACTATTAATTATATTAATATTAAGTATATATATAGCTATATAGTTAATATTAACTATATAAGAGATAAGGAGCTAGTAGAGGTTAATATTATTATTAGAATAAAGAATAATAATTTCTAATATACCTTATATAATAACTTCTTAATAAGGAAGATTTATTTTATAAACTAAATTTTAACTTAATAAAGTGCTATACTTATAGGAGGTACTTAAGTTAAGGAAGTAGTTAAAGATAAAATAATTATATAGGTCTTTTTATAACTTTAGCTATAAAGACCTACTTATTATGAGGAGACTAGAAAGCTATGCTAAATAACCTTCTTTTTAAACTTAGAAGAAACTTACTCTTAAGCTATAGCTTTTTATAGTAAAAAGTAGATAGGTAATATTACTCTATTAGAATAGTTTTTCTTAGATAACTAGCTAAAATATAAATAGTTTAAGTTTTAGTATATAATAGTATATATAGAGTAATATTAAGATTAAATATATAGTAGTAATATAGTTACTATTAACCTAGCTTTAGCTAATACTTATATATAAATTAAAAGCTAAGAAATAAGTATTAAGGAACTTATAAGGAAATAGAATAAGGAATATAGAGCTAACCTATAATAGCTTAAGAATAGTAATTTTAGATCTATAAAGGGTAGTATTAATATATTAATAGAAGAGCTATAACCTTTTAGAGGAAGCTATTATATTAATATAAATATAGTAGATATATTAACGTTATAAGGCTTTAGACTAACTAATATTAAGGTTTTAGCTATAGAAGACTTCTAATAACTCTAACTTAGAGTTATACTCTACTTTAGTAGAAGGTATATAGTTATTATATATAACTTCGTTATACCTCACTTTTAGGTAGCTATTTAAATTAGATATTACTTAGCTAAGGAATAGTTAGGAATTATTAATATTAGCTCTATAGTGAATATTATATCTAAAGATTATATTAACCTTAATAGACTTTAAAATAGAGTTATACTAACCTTAGTTATAATTAGGGGCTTTATAGATATTATATTAGAACTATAGTTTATAAGTATTATTATAGAGGATATATATATTAGTAGCTACTATATACTTAACGTAGGTTTCTTTATTAGTCTATTTAGTAAGACCTTAAAAAGCTTAATTCTTAATAGCCTTTTTATTTATTATATTAAAATAGGGCTTAGCTATATAGATAGATAGATTAATAGTAATTTTTACTACTATATTACTTAATACCTATTAAAATATACCCTTAGTTTCTTTACTAACTAGTTTATAGCTCTCTTTTTCTATATTATCCCTAACTTAGATATATTTAATAAGATTTAGAACTTTTACTATATTTTTAAGGAGGAGGGAAATTAGAGGCTACTACTACTATATTTAGTATAGTAGCTAACTTATTAGAATTAGGAATAAATAGAGCTTTAAATCTTATTATAGAGGAGGAT